ATAACTAGTAAGTAATCCCTTTCCCTAAGAGCAATGTATTGCAATTGCATTGCATTGCATTACGTTGCACTTTTAACTCAGTGAATGGTAGCTAACTTTTTGTTCCCTTTATAGTTACAGGAATATGACATCACCCCATGATAGGTTTACCTTAGGGTTGCCATAAGCCAGAAATGACTTGATGGCATGCAGCAATTAAAGGCCTTTGCAGACTGCCAGAAATAGTGCACATTAAATTGAGGCACTGCCCTGACTCAGTGCTAGGGAATCATGGGAACTGTAATTTATTGTGGCACCAGAGCTCTCTGCTGACTTTCTAAAAAACCTCAAGAGATAGCAGGGTCCCCCCCCTGTAATTCTCCATACATGAGTTTTCATGGAAGAGATATAGTTATTATTTTAGAAATAAAAGTCATTTGCTTGGCAGTGTGGAACAATTACATGAAGGTGAGGAGCCACTTGTTAGGAAGGATGTAATTAGGGGAATTTATAATTACTTCAAATTATGCATGAGTGGGGCCCTAACAACACCCAATGGGACCATGTACCATTATGTATACCAGAGGACTAAAGAATCCCGCAAAGCATGATGCTGAGTCAGGCTTCTCCAATTAAAGTCTAAATATTTATTATTAACAAGGAAAAACCACACACACAAATATGGCGCATACACACTGCACTCTTAGAACTAAAGGGGTTAAAAGTGGGGATAGCTTGAGAGGGACCAGACTGAGGGAGTTACTCACTTTCGAAGGCTTCTCCAGGATCCGCTGTGGAAGTTGATGATGATGATGATGAAGCACGGCCGCTGAAATGGGGGGGGGTAGTAAGATGGCCGAGGGAGCTATGATCAGAGTACAGACCGACATGGAGTCAGCATGCACATGGAGTCTAGAAATCCAAGGGTTTAAATAGGAAATTTCTGCCTTCTAGCTATTAATTACACCAGAGGTAGGCAACCTTTCCCCTTTAAGGGCCGAGGGACTTCATCTCCCAGAAGCCTCAGCCATGTTGGCCAATAGTCCCATGTTGGCCAATAGCTCCTGGGATTCTGGGAGCTGAAGTCCCTCGGCCCTTAAAGGGGAAAGGTTGCCTACCCCTGGATCACACAGCTTGGCTGAAGCTAGAACAAAGGCGTTGATAGTCTTAGGGCCTCGGCAG